ATGCTTGAGTGAAATTTTGGACATATTCGGTTCAAATTTGGCTTTTCTTTATAGTTTTTTTTTTTTTTTTGCTTTCTCTGCTATATAATTTTCTGCACTCACCATGGTATGTTGATCCCCATTTACGTGCTTTGATGTCCAAATCTATTGTCTGTTGTTTTGTGATTTGCTAGGTGTCTGTATTCGATATCTTTTCTTACAATCTTATTTTGAGGATCTGTCGTTAACATTTATTCGTGAAAGACTGTAGCCCATCTGTATTTAACTTTGCAACCATCAAGGTCTCCAAGTAATAGACCAATACTGCTTGACATGTGTATTAAAGATTATTATCTTGCTCTGGAGTGACAGGGCTGTGCATTTCCATTTCCGGAAGTGAAGTCACAATTTGCTTTGTTGATTCGACATTTATTTTTCTTATTTATCACACCTTCCAAGATAAGTGAAAGTGTTTTTTCTCATATACCTTCTCCATTAAGCTGTATATGCAGGTCCTGATTGAATTAATTCTGACGTTTTAAAATTATTGATTTGTATCACCACCTTGGATTTTTCTTTAGATAGTCGATTTAGTTGGTCTGTGCTTGTTGTCATTTAACAACCATGCGCTTTGCCGACTCGACCAAGCCGACCTCTTGCATGTTAAAATTTTGAGAACATAAAATAATCTATTTGACTGCGCGAAGTATGTTTTTCTATAATAAATGAACATTTCCTTTATACGGCAATTACCGTCTCGTTAGCAAGACAAACTGAAACAGGATAAAGAATCGAGCAGAGTTTCTTCCAGGCATCTCTTCGAAATTTTTTTACCGCCCTACCGAACGAAATGAAATTTATATAATTTATATAGAAAATATATGCTTTTAACAGTGTCCGCCCCCACGAAGAAAGTCTACCCCCCCCCCGAAAATTTCAAGTGCCCCCCCCCCCCCCCCGGAGAAAAAAGTCTGTAAGAAACACTGGAATCGAGTATATCTTACCTCTGACTTGGTGCAGGACAACTGGATTTCCGTCAGGATTTTGTTTCCGCCCCAGTGCAGCGCACCATTTGGTTTGGACTTGAGGGGCCCCACAAACTCGAACCTAGGATCCAAACTCGTGTCTTTTGGGTTAGCGACCGCTGAACCACGCCCTTCTAATGTTAACTTCTGTATATTCCTTTACATTGCTGGCGCCGAACACATAACATGCTGGAGCATGCTTTCATTAAAAATTCAATACGGTATTTTAAAAAAAGTGAACAGAGTATCAGCAGTCATCTCTTTTTTGTGATTCAGTGCGTGAGTACAATTCTAAACGATGTACGATGCAAATTTCCTTTAACATCAAGTCAAACCATTAATAATTAATTTCTTGCAGAAATAGAAAGTATTGATATTATTAAACAAGCATAATGGGTCGATTTTATGCAACATCAAACGAGTTAGTTGATGTTATGGTAAACTATACTGGGCATAGGGAACAATCTCGAAGACAATGTATAAAAAATATTAAGCAGGCATAGGACCATCAAGTATAAGCTCCAGTTTGTCTGCATTACCATCACTTTTTTCGTCATTGGCCAACGCAGCTACAAGATAAACGCCATGCTGATACCAGTTCGAAATTTGAAATGGTGTGTTTTTTATTGGAGAAATCTCATTCAACGTTTGAGAAACGCAAATTATTTTGAGACTAATATAAATAAAAAGAGTGGCATATAACCTTTCATTTTACTAGTAATATATACTACTAATACGATACAATTCTTTGCTGATAAGAGCTTTAAAACGGACGTACAGCAAATCTCTCTCTCTCTTTCTCTCTCTCTCTCTCTCTCTCTCTTCATGAGCCTCTGCGGTACATGGCTTGTATATAGGCTTACTTGTCTGATAAATCGGCGACATGCGCAGTCAGGCTTTCTTTTCCTGATGCAATCCGCCACTTGTCCAGATTTTAGATATTGGATCTCTGAAGGCTTTACAAAATCAAAACATTTAGAGGTGCTGTTGTTATACGTTAGTAGCGGTTGGAATAGTTACAAACATTCAGAAAATACCCCTCCCCCTTTTTTCCCAGAAAACAAATGGAACAAAATACCAATGTGTATAGAAAATTTAATATTTTACCACATGTATAAAAGAAACCTTGCCACAAAACCCATAACGATTTTTAAAAATACTTATAGCCTACCAATTGTATACACAATTATTGCTTTTTTTGATGGAATAAAATCTTATCTTGAACTATCATATAGCTCTAATTAGTTAAATGGGGCATTCTATATGATCAAATGATTGATCCTTGTACAGAGAACATTTTTAGATTTACAAAACCCACATACTAAGTTTCTTTATACATAGAAAGTTTGTGTATAGAAGGGATGTCGTGGCCTAAACACCAGGGCGCTAGACTGCATACCCCAAAGTCTCGTGTTCGAATCCAGTTTTTAACTCATGTTAGGGAAAGTAAATGCAGCTTGACCATACCGTTTAATCATAAGTCGAGGTATAGAAACTCTACTTCTTCTACCATAGATACCTAAGTACATCAGTTTTTGATACAATTGACGCTCTTTGACATTTAAAAAAAATTGCTGTAAGTGGACAGAGTTGTTTGATCTCATCCATAAAACGGCCTAACCATTTATCGAAGAGCATACTCAAAATTAGCTCGATGTAATGTGCGTAAGTTTGATAATTTGAATGACTAATTAATTGATGTGGAGTGCTTAAGTTTAAACCTTTATTTTATTGGGGAAAAAACACAATTTTAAATTCACAAACGTATTACTCGCAAGGTAATTAGAATTACAGAGGCTCCTTTGATAATATAACTAAAAAATACATTACGTTAATTATTAAAGTTAATTTCTACAATATATTAAGTATACTTAACTTTGTGTATAATGAAATTATTAATCAAACGAAAGCCAAATTTAATACATTTCTTCTGCTGCTTAAAAACATGTTTTGGTTATATATAAGGTGCTGGTCAGTCGCAGTCAGTTTTAGCCTAGAGCCCGACCGAATTTTTTTCCTCGACCATTTCACCGGATGCAAGTGGCGGCCAAGTTAGAATCACCTACGGCACCGACAAGGGCCCGAACTTGCACCAGACCCCTTTGCCTTGTATACATAGATTGAATTACCGAAAATAAGAAGTGTAAGCTTTGTGAAAAACCGAAAGTAGAAAAAATTCCACTTCCAGTTACCACTGTTATGAGCTACCTTGTACTCAACCTTATTATAAGATGTAATGCAATGGCCAGGTCGAGATATTTTCATGGCGCCAAATTTTAAACAAGTTCAATCTTGTTACATTCTAGAATGTACAAGATGAAAAAGTAAAAACATTCTATTATATTAGCAATCAAAAACGTTAAAGGTTCGTTTCAGTGCACGCAAACAAAAGCGCCGCTCAACACACTGCTCGCAAGGTAATTAGAACTACAGAGGCTCCTTTGATAATATAACTAAAAAAATACATTACATTAATTATTAAAGTTAATTTCTACAATTTATTAGGTATACTTAACTTAATAAATTAATTTAATAAATTTCTTTTGCTGCTTAAAAACATGTTTTGGTTATATATAAGGTGACGGTCAGTTGCTGTCAGTTTGTAGCCTTCTGTGAGGGCCTAGAGCCTGGCCGAATTTTTTTCCTCGACCATTTCACCGGATGCAAGTGGCGGCCAAGTTAGAATTACCCACGGCACCGGCAAGGGCCCGAACTGGCACCAGACCACTTTGCCTTGTATACATAGATTGAATTACTGAAAATAAGAAGTGTATGCTTTGTAAAAAACCGAAAGTATTAAAAAATTCCACTTCCAGTTACCACTGTTATGAGTTACCTTGTACTCAACGTTTTTGTAACATGTAATGCAATGGACAGGTCGAGATATTTTCATGACGCCAAACAAGTTCAATCTTGTTAGCATTCTATAATGTACATGATGAAAAAGTTAAACCATTCTATTATATTATTAATCAAAAACGTCAAAGGTGCGTTTCAGTGCACGCAAACAAAAGCGCCACTCAACACACTGCTCCATAATGCTGGTCTTGGCCTCTCAAAACGTTAAGGATGGGCGCACAAAGAACAAAATTGTATGAACATTCCCCCCCTTTAAGTTACAACACTTATTTATTTTATACAAATAGGGCCTATAACAAACTGTTATTTTATATAAATTATTTAATAGTCATTTTCATGTAAAACATAAGGTAAAGAATACCTGCAATCAATTAAATGCAGCAATAAAGTAAGCTAGTTGACTAGTGTGCTTGGAAACTATAGATGACTATATGCCCCGTTTTTTACATCAACACTTTACTCATTCTATGACTTTGTATTAGTAAACATTGTATTAACTTTAATAGTATTTGTAGCATATATTATACACAATTTTGTTCAGTAAATGTGACAGCTTTGAAATAGCTTTCATTTTCATTCTTGATTTCTAGTTACGCTGAGAACCAAACGATAAGCCACAGTCAGTTTAATTTTTTTTTAACCACTCTGCGTAGTCAGCTAATTTGTGATTTGTTTTTTCTTCTAGACATCTGAGTTTTACAATGCTAAAGAGTCACATGGTTTCCTTTAGACAAATGAGTAAATTGTGTCAAAGAGATCGCGATGTTTCTTTTAGACATCTGAGAACACTATGTCTAATTGACTTGTCGTTTACTAAACTTATGATACCTTAAACTCCTCATTTGATAGATGAGCATTTGTGTCATCGCAAGTATACAACCTCTCTGTGTCATCGCATATATACAGCCTCTCATCGATGCTTTAATGTTCAAGTATATATATAATATATATATATATATATATATATATATATATATATATATATATATATATATATATATATATATATATATATTACATCCTCAACTTTAGCAGATTTGGGAAGAAGAAATAATCCCATCTGACTGGAAACTACGATACCTGATAAAACTGCCAAAGAAGAGAGACCTGACACAATGCAACAACTGGAGAGGGATAATGCTTCTTTCAGTCCTAAGTAAGGTGCTGACAAGAATCATCCTAGAGAGACTTAGCGATGCCTTCGACAAAAAGCTAAGACAAGAACAAGCTGGTTTTCGCAAGGACAGGTCATGTACTGACCACATTACCAAGCTGCGCATCAATATTGAACAGTCTCTTGAACAGTCCCCCTTATACATGACTTTTGTCGACTTCGAAAATGCGTTTGACAGTGTGAATAGAGATGTTATCTGAAAATTAATGAGCCACTATGGAATACCCAAAAATCTATTACACAGAAACTATATGAAGATTCCACTAGTCAGGTAATACACAAGGGAAAACTAACAAAACCATTGCCAATGATATTCTTGATGGTAATCGACTGGATCATGCTGAAAACTACACACAACGTCACAGGAATCCAGTGGAGTTTCACCAAAAGGCTGGAAGATCTTGATTTTTCCGGTGACATGTGCCTACTATCTCACAAGCATCAACATACGCTAGCCAAACTAAATCGGCTATCTGAAGAAGCCTCCAAAGTTGGACTAAAAATCAATAAAACTAATACAGAGGTCATCAGAATCAATAACAGCCAGGACCTGCCTATACAGCTAAATGGAGAAGATTTACGTGAAACGAACACATTCACATATCTGGGAAGCGTGACCAATAAGGACGGGGGAGCAGACGAGGACATAAAATGTCTTATCAACAAGGCTAGATGGGCCTTCAACTCACTGCGCCTGATGTGGAGTTCCATGGCCCTGTCACTCCGGAGCAAAATTGGGATTTTCAACTCAAATGTCAAGGCAGTGCTGCTCTATGGCCTGGACACTTGGAGGGTTACGAAGACAAATACTGATAAGTTACAGGCATTCGTAAATACATGCTTACGGCATATACTTAAAATAAGATGGCCAGACAAAATTTCAAATAAAGACCTGTGGTGAGATTTAAAGCAACAGCCAATAGAGACAGATATAAAGGCCAATAAATGGGAATGGATCGGACACATATTAAGACATGAAAAAGAAAACATCGCAAAACACGTTTTGGACTGGAATCCCCAGGGAAAAAGGAGGGTGGGACGGCCAAGGAAGACATAGAGAACAATGGTTGAAGAAGAGGCGAAGATAAAGGGAGCAGCCCAAAACCGAGCCCGATGGAGATGTGTGGTTGCAGCCCTTTGCTCCCCTGGGGCCACAAAGGAATGATATATATATATATATATATATATATATATATATATATATAATATATATATATATATTATTTTGTAACAAAAATGTGATTTTTACCTCTATGTATTAACTTATTGACTTCTGCCTTTGTTCTCTGTAAACATTCAAGGGGATTTATTATTTGTCAGCAAACTAATCAATGAATTATGTTGTCCAGAGATCACAATGTATACCTTTTATATTTGAGCTTATTTCAATGAAAAATATCCAACACTGTTTGCCTAATACTTTTCACAAAATTATTTTAAAATAAACCGGGAGTGATCTCCACTTAACTTTCTCGAATATTCTTATACGAGAAAAATGGCCCGTTGAGGAAGGATACAACGGGCGCTAGGTTGATAGTGCTGTCTATTTTCTCGGTACTTTATTTATACAAAATATAGTCATAGGCATATCCCTAAACCATGCACCTAATCTCATTCATGACAAAAATCGAATTTAGAGTTTCTTTCAGGCAACTCTACTTGGGAGAAGGGGGATTCGCCCCCCTCCCCCCCCTCCCTCCCACACACACACTCCAAAACATGTCTACAGTCCCATTCAACGAAATATAATTATATACTTTTTCCAGTGTCCGCCACCTCCCAGAAAATTCTACCCCCGCCCACGAAAATTTCAAGTACCCCCACCCCTCTCCGGGGAGGAAAAAGTCTGAAAGAAACATTGGTCGCATTTGTAGATCATACAAACTAAAGGAAGAATCTGGGCGGCGCTTCGCCCCTACCGGAAAAGATGCTTTAAAAATAAAACTGCACGCTAAACACTTTTTAGATTAGAAAAAGTTCCCCCCTCCGGGGAGGAAAAAGTCTGAAAGAAACACTGGTGTCGCGCTTAGCCACTACCCGAAGAATTGCATTAAAGAAATTGCAAGAAAACCACTTTTTAGATTAGACACATTAATTAGGCGGTAATTTTATTATAGAGTATCAATGACGACATTTCTTTTTAGTTGGGGGGGGGGGGGGGGCGGCTTAGACGTTCATTCTCGAGGGTGGGGCTTCGCCCCTACCTGAAGAATTGTATGAATGAACCTCTTCACGCAAACCACTTTTAAGATTAGACAAAATTGCCTTTTTATTCAATGTTTACTCGAGAATCAATGACGTCATATTACTGTGTGCATTCTCCGGCTTAAGATTATTTTCTACTCTATGCTAAATGTCACGTCATATTTCGTTTCCGTCTGACTGTGCATGTTTTTAAATTGCTTGTGTTTTCTCTAGAGCGTTCTTGTCAGATAGATACATAGATAGATACATAGATAGATACATAGATACACAGACAGCGAAACTATAATTATAGATAACTTGGAATACAGACATGATTTTTAATTACTTAAACTTTTAAAAATATAATAGAATTCCATAGAAAAAAGAATTGCGCACCAAGCGAACAAAATGTGCATAATAGTGCGCAATATTATTAGTAGGCCCTACTTTATAAATTTACCTGCGTTTTTTGAGAAATCGGAAATGGCGTAAATTAGTACTTTCAGTCAACGGAAATTACTCAAAATTTGACAGAAGGTGGAGAATTAGATCTTTTACTAATATGTGAAATTTAATTTATCTATCTGAAATAGTTCTCTAGTTATAGGCTTTTGAAAAATTCAAAGTAGAAAAAGTACCACTTCCGGTTATCGGAAATCGCTCAAAAGTTGATCTGGATTTACGATTTTGATAAAATACTTATATAAGAAATTTTATATCAACCTAGCTGTAACGGTACTCAAGTTATCGTGTTTACACACACACACAAACAGACAGACACACACACACACACACACACACACACACACACACACACACAGACACACAGACATACGGACAAGATTGCAAAATTATGTTTTTCTGTATCAGTGAGGTGTAAAACGTCGATATTTGTAAAAATCTCGATTTTTTTTTTTGCACGATTACAAGACTTTCTCTATACTTCGTGTATACGAGAAAGTAAAAAAAAAAAAAACCATAAATAAAGTTTTATCTAAACGTGAACTTTAATTGAAAAAAAGAGACATCGAATATGGTTATTAAGTAGGATTAGAAAACGAATCATAAGGTTTTTAAAAATAGAACAAAACTACACACAATTGTATGTAAAATGTAAACATTAATCTGTAACTGTGGGAATATACTCAGCATCCTTACAAAGTGTCAAGCAAATGCTGTTTGTTTCTTAACGCCCATTGAGCTTTATTTAAGTGTGTACTCCTCTAACAAATAAATGTAATTGACTGACCGTCTACACGTCTTAAGAAAATATGAAAATGCATTACAATGAAATATAAAAATGTAATAGACCATTAATATTAAAAGTCCGTTGAGTCTTATTTAAGTGTTTACTCTTCTAAAAAAATGTAATTGACTGACCGTTTACACGTTTATAGTAAATTTAAAAATGCGTTACAAAGAAATATAAAAATGTAAAATACCATTAATATTAATAGTCAGAAAACGACACTCAATACATGGTAAAATTAAAGCAGAATATTTTTAAAATCAATGTATTATTATTTATTGCAATACTGGTGATTTTTTTGTTGTCTTACTCAATACGTTCATTAGTGCTTACGTTTTTTTTTGTTAATGAAAAACAAGTATTATATTAAATAGTAAATGTTTTATTAATTTGGACAGTTAAAGTTTGTAAAATCATAAATAGCTGGCAGGTTAAAATATGTATATGATAATTTCAAAATATGTTAAAAAAATAGTCTAGAATAGTTGAAGAAATATAAATATGCACCAGGAGTACATTTACATTGGAACAGAGACAAAACAGCATTAACAACTCTATTTACACTATCTAGTATTAACTAGTATTAACGAAATATCCTCATTAACACCAGACATATTTTTAAAACGTGCAGCAGAACATAAAGATGCACATTTATGAAAATTACACGAAATGTGTGTTATAATTTTGTGTTTAACCCAAGTTATATTTTTGTTTAACAATATTCATTGGCATTATCATTTAGACAAGTGATACAAAGTATAGTTAATCCTACTGTTTATTTTCAAACGCTCGTTGTACAGAGTTAGATGTGAAACTCCAATATTGTAGACAGTTAACTTGTGCTTATGTCGATATTTTAATTTAATGTGGCCATCAGATGTAACACATTTCAGCTCGTATACGTTTACGTATGTAAATAGATAAAACTTGTGAAAAGGTATATTTGCAGTCAGCAAGTTCATTCGTGAGCTTTGCTGCATGCAAGATATGCACTCAAGTGTAGGTGTTATGTGCTTAAAACATACAGAATGGGCAGATACAGAGTTATATAAATATAACATTATAAAATTACCACACAAACATGTACAAATATTCCGCAATAGTTACTAATAAAATTAATTCAATAAAGATATTGAAGTAGATAAAAATTAAACTTACACCTTAGATTAATTAAAAACTGCAAGACAATGTGTTAGGTAGAGTTAAGGATGCTCAGAATTTTGAAACAGATATATAAAATAACCTCAGACAATGCCATTGTTGTTAAAAAGCTTCTTAAAAGAACTTTGTTTATCACAACTGTAAAAGCTAAATAACAAGTTTTAATTGTTCCATGCCTGCTCCAGTGCTGTAAATGTCGCATCTGTGTTGTAGACCATCAAGGAACTTAGACTTGTGTTCCTGGTGGAGAAGTCCATAAGCTGGCATTGTTTGGTAGAGGAGATCCAGTTAAAACCCATACAGATCTGGTCTTGTATTGGCTTCAAACATTCAAAGGCACATTCGACTGAGCTGCGCTTTGTTGTGTTATTGATGTGGGGCAATTGGAGAAGTGTGTTTTTGTTGGTCACAAACAGTCCATCGTTTCGGTCAAATAAATATCCCATGACTTGAAGTTCAAGGATGCTGGCTGAATTTTGATAATCATATCTGTAAAAACAATTGTCATTCTGTTAAAACTATATCGTTTATTTATGCTAAACATTTTTATAATTAGAACACTCTATTAATAATGATTAATGATTAAAATAAATTCTACATAATGCGATTAGAAAGATAAATTAAATTAGGAAAACCACATGCATAATAAAACGAACGTAACGTCCTATGACAGGAGTTGTACAACTCCAGGTGGAATTAGTTTGACCAATTGTAGGTTTCATTGTAACACAAATTTCTCCTGGCTCATAAAAATTTGCTTTGAGTCTGGGATCTGTCCTAAAGACGTCAACGATTTGATTCTTCCTGCAGGTGCTTTAAAGATAAAACTCAAGATGTTTAAAAACGTAGAAACAAATTTCGTTTTCTATGTTGATGTAGTGTATGTAAAAATATTAGATTATACATTTCCACATATAATTACTTACTCGTAAAGGATGGAGATTTGTTTCACGACGAAAATGTCCCCGAGATCAACCATCCACCATGGGCTAGTAACTCTTAATGTGAGAGCCAATGTGTCACTTCTTCCATCAACGGCGCGACCTGCGACTAGGTAGACACCATAATGCAACCAATCTCCTGACTGGTACGCTGGTTTGTTTATTGATAGATTCTCCAGAGTTTTTATACCAAAAGCATTTTCGATGACAAAAATAAGGACCAGAATATTGACTATATCAGCAATCATCTTTACTTTTTTATGTTAATTAATTTGTAC